GCCAGGGCTCTAGCAGGGGCTGGGGCCGCGGCAGGGGTAGCAAGGTGAGTCGGTGCTTGCCAAGAGGCAGGGCGCAAAACCTACGAGGAGATCGTGCACGGTGGGCAGCACCCGCAGCTCAGAGCCTGGGACGTCCGGAGCGCGGGGAGTAGTCCCGGCTCCAGCCAAGAGCGGTTTGTCTGGGCAGCCTGGGACCCAGGCACAGCCATCCCTGAGAAAGCAGCAGTCTGGAGAGCAGGCATCTCAGATCTGTAAGAAAGCAGTCGTCCGAGAAGCCGCGGATCTCAGGTGCCCAGGATCCTTAGGACTGAATGGGAGGGTACTAGAGGACCAGGGACTCTGAACCGTCGGGAGCTACCCCTGACCTAGCCCACTGGGGGCCTCCCCTCGACTGACTGCTCGGGGAGCGGCACTGCAGCGGCGAGGCCGCAGAGGCAGGGTAGGGGGAGTGGGGGGCAGCCGTCGGGGGAGTGTAGACCCCGGCCCAAGGCGGGTGACCGCCTCCTGGGCCCACGGAGAGCCCTGGGCCCCGGCAGCCATTGCGCCCAAGAGTGAGGAAGATTTGCTGGCCCTGGCCGCGTCGCGGCTGAGCCGCCGCAAGAGGGTGGCGGGCGCGGCCGTCGGGGTGGCCATGGTGCTGCTCCTGCTGGTGGCCATCCCGCTGCTGGTGCACAGCTCCCGCGGCCCAGCGCACTACGAGATGCTGGGTCGCTGCCGCATGGTGTGTGACCCGCATGGGCCCAGAGGCCCGGGCCCCGACGGCGCACCTGCTTCCGTGCCCCCCTTTCCGCCGGGCGCCAAGGGAGAGGTGGGCAGGCGCGGGAAAGCTGGCCTGCGGGGGCCCCCGGGGCCTCCAGGTCCAAGAGGGCCGCCGGGAGAGCCCGGCAGACCAGGCCCCCCGGGTCCTCCAGGCCCAGGTCCGGGCGGGGTGGCGCCCCCTGCCGGCTACGTGCCTCGCATTGCTTTCTACGCGGGCCTGCGGCGGCCCCACGAGGGATACGAAGTGCTGCGCTTCGACGACGTGGTGACCAATGTGGGCAACGCCTACGAAGCAGCCAGCGGCAAGTTTACTTGCCCCATGCCAGGCGTCTACTTCTTCGCTTACCACGTGCTCATGCGCGGCGGCGACGGCACCAGCATGTGGGCAGACCTGATGAAGAACGGACAGGTGAGATGCCCCTCCCCCAGCCCAGCTCAGACTGGTCGCTCTCTAGATCTCTCGACACTCATCCCACAACCTGAGATCCTTGCCCGAAACGGCTTCACTGAATCCAGGAACCCCAGGCTGCCAAGAGCGATAGATCGCTTCATTAACCCACAGAGGAAATTGGGGCCTAGAGAAGGAAAACCACCTACCTAGGGCCTCACGGAGTGTATAAATGGCGATGGAATTAGAACTCAGGACTCAAACCTGTGTGTCTCTACAGCTGCGACTCGCATTGCAACTATGGGCAACACCAGATGTCTTTGGTGTCTCGCCCTGCCAATTCGCCTCTTTTCTTGTCCTGTCTTGGGCTATCCTTTTTATTCCGCGGAGGCCCTCCCTGGCCTTTGGGTCTCCCAGCCTCGCGTTGTACCAGCTAACTAGAGTCTAGGCTCCTTTGAATTAGAATGAAATCCGTGTCACCGGGAGTAGGAAGTCAGCAGCCTTTCCCATGTTGGGGACATTCAGCTTGGGTGCTTGAGGAAAAGGTAAAAAGGAAGAAAACATTCGCTTGCTCGTTTCACTTGCCAAGCAGCTGTCCTACTGCTCACCCCAGGCTGGGGGCCTAGAACAGCCTTGCTTTCAGCTGAGTCTGTGGCCTGGCAGCTCAAAGGTCAGCCAGGTGACTGGAAGGAATGAATTTGGGAGAGAAAGAGGCAAGGGACAGGTAAAAAAGCCTTGGACCCTGGCTTGGTCCTATAGGCCCCACACTCTCCCTAGCAACCTCTCAGTATTCAGGTTCCACGGTTCCCTGCCCTTGTGGGTAGTTGGAGTCACTGTCGCCTCTGTTTCGGGGGAATAGCCCCAAGGACTAAGCTCTAGCACCGAAATTTCATACAGAGTGGGAACCAGAGGCCGCAGGTGTGGGGTCGGGTGGGAGAAGGTGCCAGAGCTGTGCAGGCCGAAGGGGGACGTTGGGGCTGAGTGGTGACCTCAGTACCCTGTGTGAAGGGGGTGGTGGCGACCGAGGAGCTTTAGGCCTGCGGGAGCCTAATACCGCTGCAGGGCCTGCCTGCCCCCAGACCTGCTTTGGGGTCTCATCCCAGAGGGGCTGCCGCAGGAACCCAAGGAAAGGGAGTGAGTGTGCGTCCACATGGGGTGAGAGTGTGTCAGGGAGTGTGAGTGCTGAGTGCGAAGGTGTGAGAGTAGAGTGGTGTTGGTCTGCCTATGACACCGAGTAGGTGTGCTTGGTCTATACAGGGTATCTGGGAGGAGGCGGAGGGGCGAGTGTGAAACTAAAGCATCGTGCGGGTTTCGGAGGGGGAGGGGACCGTGCAGCTCCCACTCTGTATTCCTCGGAGCGGGCGCTGCGGCCCTGGAGACGGTAAATAGTGATTAGAATAATGATGAATAATTAATGAGTTAATAACCAGTCCCTGTGGGACTCTGGAAGAGGGGGGCTGGAGGAGGCCCGAAGCGACCGCCATGAGCCTGGAGGAGAGGAAGGGCTTCCTGTTCTGGCAGAAGGCAACTCCCACGCCTGGGCACCAGCGGGTGCTCGGTCGGGAAATCTGCGCCCACAGGCAAGAGCGCAACAGTGCACCTTTGCACAGCCCGAACCCTACACTCGCACAGGCACACCTCTGCCCCACCACCGGGGAAGCCAACCCTCCATGAGGACTGAGAGGAGCTCCGAGCCGGTTCAGAATTTTAGAAATTATTCTACAGGCACATTTTAATTTTTTTTTTTTTTTTGAGACGGAGTCTTGCTCGGTCACCCAGGCTGGAGTACAGTGGGACGATCTCGGCTCACTACAACCTCAGCCTCCAGGTTCAAGCAATTCTCCTGTCTCAGCCTCCCGAGTAGCTGGGACTACAGGCACCTGCCACCACACCCGGCTAATTTTTGTATTTTCAGTAGAGACGGGATTTCGCCTTGTTGGTCAGGTTGGTCTCGAACTCCTGACCACAGGTGATCCACCTGCCTCAGCCTCCCAAAGTGCTGGGATTACAGGCGTGGCTTTTATTTTTAAAATGAGAATAGAATGTGAAAATGCATTAAAATTAATTTAAGAATGCAAACCACTGTTCTGGACACACCATGTAATTCACTTAATCCTAACATCCTATGAGGTGGGTTCTATTATTATCCCTCATTTTATAGGTCAACTTGAAGTCCAGAAAAGGCGCGGAATTTGCCCCGCGTCACACAGCTAGTGAATGGCAGAGCCGGGGCAGCTCCACGACGTCCTACTCTCCCTGGTCCTCCCCAGCCCCCACTGCCGCTGCCCTGCAGCCTTCGCACGCCCAGCCGCCCCGACCCCTCTCATCGCTCCAGCTCCACACAGAGCATGAGCGGGTTGTTTTGTTCTCCCTCGCTAGGTCCGGGCCAGTGCCATTGCTCAGGACGCGGACCAGAACTACGACTACGCCAGCAACAGCGTCATTCTGCACCTGGACGTGGGCGACGAGGTCTTCATCAAGCTGGACGGCGGGAAGGTGCACGGCGGCAACACCAACAAGTACAGCACCTTCTCCGGCTTCATCATCTACCCTGACTGAGCCGGCCCCGCCCCGCGTCCCCCATCCTCCCTTCGCTCCTGTCCTCACCCACCTCCAGCCTGCCCCACCCGAGGCGCCACCCCGCCCTTTGAGAGCCTGCCGGAGGGGTGGACCCTCTCGTTCCCGGAGGCGGCCTAAATGGGCGGACTCTTGGTGCTCAAGGGTATATGACCAGGAGGAGGAGGAGGAGACCCGGCCGGAGGAGCAGAGCGACTTCCAGAGGGACTACCCGCACCCAAGTGCCCGCTGGACCCCAGAGGGGCAGAGGTCGTGGCTCTCTCTTTTGTACAGAGATGGGGAGCAGTTTCACTAGCAGGGCCAGAGGCCCAGAAAGCCGAGGGAAGCCCCCGCAGCTTGTGAGGGAAATAAAAGAAACAGGAGGAGCCCATTTAGGCAAAAGAAGACATTAAGACAGGGTAGCCAGGTTCTCGGTCCTGATAACTTTCCCTTACCACCCCCTCCTGCCCTCATCTCCACTTTCAGGCTCAGGCTCCAGCCTTGGCAGCCTTCCTGTGAACTGGAGGGACCAGTGAATTCTTTCCTGGCATTTAAAACACATTCTGTACAGTCCCCTTTCCACCCCTATCCGGGCTAGGCCCAGGGGCTACAGCTGCTGCTGCCTCTTCCAATAAAGTGAGGTTGGGGGATTGTGTGTGGCTGCTTAACTTGGAGCATAGACTGGGGGGAAAGTGGCTGGCCATTTCCATCATTCCTCTGAAGGGCTCCTACCGGGCTGTCAGTCCCTGCCAGAGGCAAAGGTTTAGTTAATTCCAGGCAAGGCCTGCCTCTGGCGGGAAAGGGAGAGGCTTCTACTCTGCTATGGAAAGGAAGGGGGAAGGTCTTAGCTTCAGGAGAGCTTTAGGGCCTCACGGTGTAGGTGGAGGAAGACACCAACCTGAGTGACACTAACAAGGGAAGATTCCAAAGGTCTGGGTCTGGTGCTTCTGCTCTTCTGCCCAATGCAGGTAGAGTTCTAGAAGAGGAGCTCTAGGGGGTGAAGGAGTACCTGAGGGCTCCTGCATATAAGTGGGACTGCTCTCAAGGAGTGAGAGGAAGAGTGGATCCCACAATTGCTTGCCAACATATTTACAGAATTTTCGAGGCTGTGGGCTAGGCGGGAGTGGGATGCCTCCCTTCCTTTCAGGATTCAGGATGGCTTCTGGATGGGAGCCTGGGGGATCCTGAGAGCCCAGGGCTGGACTCTGAGCTGGAGGACACTGCCACCATGTGGGCAACGGGAGAGTAACAGTAGCTGGCCTGTTTGAACACTTAGAACTCATTAGCTAGACACATGGATACTTGAGAAACTTTATTGAGGACAAAGTGGTCGGCTCCCAGTCCCATGGGCAGACCGACAATAAATAAGGGCTAAAAGGAAGACGCACGGCAGCGCAGGAGTGGGTGCCTCATGATGGGGAGCCCTCGGGGGCAGCAGAACCAACTGGAATGAAACACTGGAGAGAGAGAACTTGTCACAGCCCAGCCAATCTTGCACTGTAGCCAAGCCTTCCTGCTGACCTCTTTGTGAAGGAGCCCAGGTGGCCCCCTGCCCCCGCCCCCCACCTGCCATCAGGCTCACTGTGCAGCCACAGTTAGGCTGGGGGTTGGAGTCTCACCAGGGCTTCCTGCCATTCGAGTAATGTAGCCACAGGGTTGGTGCAGACCCGGGTGGGGCCTGAGGGAGGGGCTCGGCTGGTGTAAAAGGCACACTCATCATCCAGACGAGCCTCGTGGAAGCAGTGGATGGCGGTTAAACATGCTTTGAGGCGCTGCCTCAGGGCTAGGGTTCGAGGGGCCAGGCTGCTGGGGCCTGAGGGCCATGGAGAGTTTAGAGGGGGCTCTGGGGTCCTATACTTCCAGCATGTCCTTTCCTCTCCTCCTCCCCCACCCAGGACCAAGCCAATTGGGAGCAAAGGGCTGGAAGTGCAGCTCCTCCCCGCTTCCTGAGGTAGAGCCAGGCTGGGGCAGGGTGGAAGGTGTGGAAGCAGTGGAAGCATGGGATTGCCTGGGGCAGGGGTAGGGGTAGGGCAGGGGCACAGCTCACAGTGAGATGAGGACCTCCCATGTTCACATTCCTTCCCAGCCAACTCCTTACCTGCCTGGCCTGCTGGAGGCCTCAGAGACTGGAGTGAGCAGATAGGGGGGCTGGCACAAAGTGGGTGTTGGGAAGAGAAGATCAGGCTGGTGGTTGCTGGAGCCCACTGACTGCAGCAGGGTGGTAGGCTGGACTCTGGACTTCTATGTTCTAGGCTGCAGGGCTTTGATGCCCCCAGCTGTACCCTAGGGCAGGGCCCTGGGGGTCCAGCCTGCCCCTGGGTGCTGGGCTGAAGGGGCCCGGGCTCTGCTGGAGGGCAGGGCTCTGGTACCTCAAGCTGTTCCTGTGGGGAGGGCTCTGCTATCTCAGGCTCACTCCTACAGCAGGACCCTGGAGGCCCGGGCTCTGCTGGAGGGCAGGGCTCTGGTACCTCAAGCTGTCCCTGGGAGAAGGGCTCTGATGTCTCAGGCTCACTCCTACCAGACTCTGGAGGCCCAGGCTCTGCTGGAGGGCAGGGCTCTGGTACTTCAAGCTGTTCCTGGGAGAAGGGCTCTGATGTCTCAGACTCACTCCTACAGGTGGCCTCTGGGGGCCTGGGCTTTGCTGGAGGGCAGGACTCTGGTACCTCAAGCTGTGCCTGCAGGGAGGGCCCTGGTTTCTCAGGCTCACTCCTACAGCAGGCCTCTGGGGGCCCAGGCTCTGCTGGAGGGCAGGGCTGTGGTTCCCTGCAGTCCTCTGGAAGGCAGGGCTCTAGCAGCCCTGAGTGTTGTAACAGACAAGGAAGGTGGGAAGTCCCAGAGTTATGCTCTGTGGCATTCAGAGTTCTGGAAATCTCAGTCAGCAGGGGCTGAAGATTAACCATATCCAGAGAGGAGACTCCATTAAGGGGGACACACTGGGCTCCTACCAGTCCCTCCACCTCCTGTCTCAACAGCTGCTGCAGGATCCCAATGCGCTGTGGTGGGAGAGAACACCCCAGTGTGACATCAAGATGTGGGTACAGTAGTCTACTCATATTGTCCTATTCCTGACCCCCCATCTCTTTTCCCTCTTCCCCAGCCCAGTTATTGTTCAATAGACATCAAAGCTGTCACCCCACAGACTCACCTGCATCTTCACCTCCTGGAGGCTGGGGGTTCTGTTAGAGTAGGATCCAGAAGGAGTGGCCACAGGTGGTTTCCCTGACCCCTCTAGCGATCTTATAGAACTTTCCTGTTCAAATAACCGGACTGCAACCTGCTCCTGTCACCAAAGAACAAGGCACACAAGAAAGCCAGGCTGGGGCTGGAGAAAGACCAGCCTGAGTCCCACCCTCATGAGGAATGATCAAAGCCCCTGAGAGGCCCTAGACATACATTAGGAGGGGCACCAAGAAGCAGGGAGAGTTAGGCAGCTTTTCCAGAGAGCACTTTCTAATTTTTTTAAATTTTTAGTAGAGA